TATATATATATATATATATATATATATATATATATATGACCCAGAGGTAACCTTTGCCACAAAGGTAAAAGGGATATATGAAAATTGTAGTAACTTAATAAATAAAGTCTCAACTGAAATAAATAAATACTCACAGAATTGTTTCATTCGTTTGGTTGTATTACTGTGTGTTGTGTGTACTGTGAGGACTATGACCATGACCTCAAGCTGTAAGCAATTTGTATGTATTTATATATTATTATTTTAAGGGGGTCAGCATCCTTTCCTTCCCTTTTTGGCGTTTGACTCATTTAGCAACGTCATACACTGACTGTAACGTCATGTGACGTTCAAGCACTAAAATCACAAACATTGTCATTTATTATTAGACAAATAATTGTATCGATATCAAAAATAATAATATTGAATGAATGCTAGTTTTGCTTTGAGAAATGTATTTTTCTAAACTCATGTTTGACGAAATAAAATGCACAAAAACATAACGAAGCTGCATGTGATTTAATAGTAAAAACGTATGCAGACACAGTCGTGCTGTATAGTGGATTTACATTAATTTTACATTAATTAATAAAGTCATTTCAATCAATGAATGTCACAATAATTAGAACAAAAATAAAAACCCGCGATTTGTTTTCTTTACGACTCCGAAAGGTTAACAGCCTCGGCGTGATCCCGTGAAGGACACCGGACAGAAAATGGCGCTGAGTGAAAATCAGTGAGTCATTAAATAGGAGCGCAACACTGCACTTAAACAATCATAAATAACGTACAAGAACACATTGGCTCGTTTTTAGTGTGACTGATATGCAGACGTGGGTAAACATACTTTTATACATAAAACCACACTAAGTGTGGAAGGATAACTTCCCTGATAATATGGCTGCTGATATAATCTGCAGGAATTACTGTGACAAATAAACTCAACACAAGCACACAACCGTAAGAAAATCGAAAGTTAAAAAATATCAAATGCAATAATTGTTCTTTTAGAATGAAATAATTCTAGAAACAGAAAACAAAACAATTTAAAATAAAAAAAATAAATAAAATGACTTAAAGGGAAGTTTTCGAAGCGGATTGAACCAGTACATTCAAGATTATTGTTTTAATCGTTTTGGCTGATTTACTTGATTCTGGAATTTCCCAGAAAGACTTAATTAAAATGGACTCACGCTCTCTGGACTGGTTTTCTCCTCTTGCGTCCTGCGTACATGGCTTTATATAAGCCTGTGACGAATCCTTCTCAGAAAAACAGTCTCTTCTACATGTAAATCCACGGAACAATGAGAAGAACAAACCTCAATACTCCTCAAAACTGGAAAAAAAATGTTAATCAAAAAACCAAAACAATGAATATGTAAATGAGGCAGAACCACCTTTCTGACTTATTTATAAAGGGGTGTACTCCGGTCTGAGTCAACTCCAGCAGCACAACTCAATTCAAAAAGGAACATAAAGGAAAAAGAACTCATAAAATTTGATAATGTAGTCTCATTAAGGTCCACGGAAAAATATAAACTTGCTTCAAGTCAAATTTCTCGTTGACTTTCCATCCCCTGAAAGGAAACAAAACAGGTGTTCAGAGGTCATGAGAGAAGAAGACACGTCACATCACGCGGCTAAATTGTTTCACTAATTAAAACCACATTTTTCCTCCATATTTCCATCTTTATCCGTGTTTCTCTCTAAATCTGCAGCGGAGCAAAGTACGGGAGGATGGGGGCGAAGAGCAGGAGGGCGCATTCCAGCGGCGGGCACCCGCCTGGCACAGATTTACCACGGCGGGAGCGCGCAGCCCAGAAGCTGCGTTGACAACAGCACAGCCTTTTTTGAAAAGATGAAATCAGAGCAGGTTTGAAAAACGCATTTTAAAGTGATGTCATACACAGAATAATTGGTTTTATTCACTTTTAAGCAGCGTTTAACTTACTGTTTTAAAGTGATTAACCCGCCAAAGACATATTTACAAAAGTACTGCTGGGAATATTTCCCTAATCGAATGACAAAAATATAACAAAAAAGCAAACAAAAATGCTTGAAAATAATAAATAATAATTTGAAAGGAAACATCATCTTAATTCACTACATATCCGTTAATTAAAAAGAAAAAAAAATTAAATGTATTTGTGAATATTTTGAGAATTTATTAATTAATATTCATTTTTGGCTGTTTTTAATTATATTCTTACATCTGAGTTTAAAGTTGGGTTTAGAAAACAATCTGAATTTTGATTATCAAGTCCTGAAATGCGATTGATAAAAATAAATGATGAACTATCATTAATATATATATTATTAGGGTCAGAGAATAGAGTCAAGAATCAAGATTTTTTTTTTTTAACTGTTTTAGATTGAAGGTAGACTCACGCGATTGAAGTTGTTTTTTTGGATAAAACAACAACAGTTATGAGTAACAGCCCTGCAGTCAGAATTTATTTAAGAAATTGGACTGAATTTATATTCATTATTTAGCTTGTTTAATATATTTTTAAGTAAATGCAATTACAATTCTGGACAAAACTGTAAATTAATTATTCAGACACTTAAGAACTGGACACCCAGCACAACATTTCATTAATAAACCATGTTGGAAAAGGACATTTTTAACCCAACAACACAGGAGACGGGTGTGAGGAAATTATAATTTGTAAAAAACTAGAAAAAAAAAAGCTGACATAGTCAATCTTTCATTAAAACGTTTCACTTTAATATGACTTCATTATACTTGTATGATGTTCCACACAGTGCAGGGCAGGGGGCTGTCAAGTTTGCGCGGTCACACGGGAGAGTCTCCTGGAAACACAGGCCGTGCACGTTCACGACTGCGCTCTCCCGAGTCAAGACCGTGGTCCAATGAGCTGAGAGCTGAGAGCTGAAGGCAGGAGGAGGTCTGTGTTGGAGCTGTTGGAGCTGCATGTGCTGAATGTGGGTCAGGGGTTAGACTCTTCAATAATGCAGGTGAATTCATCAGAAGCTGATTCAGAAGGGGGTGGAGAGAGAGAGAGAGAGAGGGGGGGGAGAGGAAGCCTCTGCACACCCCTCCACCGCACCTGCACCGATGATGAATATGTGTCAGATGGTGATGGCGAGCGAGGTAGGAGCCAACAAATCAGAGGGCTGGATGATGAACCACGTGACTGGACTCACAAGTTTCGGACCCTGCTAAGGCTGTGACCTCAGCTGGATCAATGTCACAGTTGACGTTAATATAGGACAAATTCTGGAATTCAAATCCCTAAATGTTGGTCCAACCCAGAATTTGGTCATAGTGCATGCTTAGTGGTGGGTCATATGACCAGCTAGGCATTCTAGCTAGCAACATGTATGCCATAACTATATCCTTATAAAATTAGGATTTATTATGGTGGCCAAAAGACTGTAAATCTCTAAGGTGGGGTGTATATGTACTGTATGTTGACTGTGAATGTATTTTGCCAGTTAAATATATTTGTGAATATAAACTCAACCCACACCTTTCACTGACCACCACAGCAGTGGTCAGCAGTAGTTTGGCACCGTTCTAACACTCATCACTTTACTTGATCCGGTCTAGGGTTTGGGGTTGGGGGTTGGGGGTCAGCTGGTTACAAATCTAGCTTTAAACCACAGAACGAACACCCCCACTCTCCCAACACCTCCATCATCTGCAGACAAAGACATAAGACTCAATAGTGTTTCACTGCAAATATTTAGTTCTATGAGCAGAACAGACGCCTGAGGGGTGGTGTCGACGACCCCCGCCCTGATGACACATGGAGGGAGAAAAACTAGGCCAACAAGCTGATGTCATGTAATGTGACTGAATTAGTGGAATTGCTAATGGATATATAACTGTCCAAGCCTCCCTCTGTCTTCATACATGACATACAGGTGAAATCAATACATAATAATGCATACAACAGTGGTCAACAGAAAATAAATTATTTAAAGGAACATTTAAAAAAAAAACAGAAAATATAGATGAACATACAGTCACTGAAAAAATTGAAAAATAATATTTAAAAAAAGATAAAATATATTTAATTGCATTATGTTTTTTACTAATAGTGCAAATTAAATGATGTGATTAAAAATATGTTAAAATGTTTGTTTAATATTTGAAAATGAATTAATTAGAAATCCATCTATCTATCTATCTATCTATCTATCTATCTATCTATCTATCTATCTATTTTGCTTCATAATAATTGGTCCACCATCATTGGTCCACCTCCTCCCCATTGGACAGTCCAGCTGTCCTGAGGTGGTCTCTCTAAGGTTCACCAGCTGGTACATGGTTTCCCCTTCTTTTGTTTTCTGGTTTGCATTGTATTGTTACCTATCTCACAATGTAAGCTGCAGTCTAAACAGAGGAGGATCAAGGAGAACCACATGGAATGGGAGGATAAACTGGATCTCCTATAAAATAATATCATCGTGGCAACAGATGACCGCACCTTTTCAATCTCCTTTATGAGTTTGAAGATCATCCTGATGCTGATGTTTAAAATCTCAGAAAACTGCTGGCTCTTGACCTTCACGCCTTCACGATCAGTTGGATCAAAACAAGCGTAGTTGCTTTAGACACTGCGTCTCAGGGGACACATGCTGCCAGGACTGTAAATGTGATTTCCATGCTCTGAGCTCAGCAGAAGAGCAAAGGGCAGTGAGATGACAGGGTTGGTCGAGGTCACATCCTGTAGTCCTTGAGGACTATTGGACTTGAGGAGTTTGGTCAGAAATAAACAAAATAAGAAAACAAACATAGATATAGCAACAGAATCCATCATGCTACCCATTGTCAATATTTTTTAAATCACCCTCTCTTATCCAATCACATGAAGTCAAAAAGAGTGAAAATAAAAATGGGAGGCCAATGTGATTGGTCAGTGCAGTGTGATTGACTCATGTAGATAGCTGACTTTCTGTATGCAGCTTCACAAACAAAGCAGCATGTAGCTCCATTTTATTGGATGATCCGTACCACCTGATATAATTAAATTTTAAAACCAGCTGCTCTCGCCTCTTTTCTTTGTATTATTTTAATACAAAGTTACATTTGTCTTTGAAAGAATTCTTTCAATTTTCCCGACACTCCATCCATCTGTGGTGGATTATGGGATACACCAGACTGTGGAGTCTTCATTTTTGTAGCCAAAAAAAAAAAAGAAAAAAAGAAGAGAATATACTCTGAAATGCATGATTAATAACAAGTAGCTCATAAAGCAACAGACAAAGTAAACATGCTATAAAATTCACAGAGTTAAAAAGCCACTATTAAAAAATAATTAGAATATGCATTTTAAATAAAAACAGATCTGACTTAGAAATTTAAAACCTAAGGTAAGGACTGGGGACATAAAACAATATATACATATTATTATAAATAAACTAAATGTAAGACATGAGCAGAGACAAATGATTCATAAATTAATAAATACAAATTAATTAATTTATTTTTATTTTCACATACTGTGTGTAATTTAATCTGTAACTGCTGTGTACATCTGCAGAAACACTTCAGCAATGGGGAAAAAGCTCCCTCTAGTGGACAAACTCCATCATATCTTTTACCTCATGAGGGAGTCACAGCTGTAATCTCGGAAAGTGTCAGTAGTTAAACATGTGTGTCTAATGTCTGTTAAACTGACTCCTGTATATACTGTAGGGCAGTGACTATCAACTGACCGCCTACAGGCCAAATCTGGCCAGCTGAACCGTCCAATCCAGCCAAAGATTGGATTCCAAAATCAGCATTAAAAAAATAAACAAACAAAGATGTGATTTTTATTTCATTGTGTCCAGCCAAGGTGGTCACTCCTAGGTTTAGTGCAAACTAAGCTAAAAAAAAGTCACATGTCGTCACTGCACAGCTCCTAAATCAACATCCTCTGAGCCTCATCTGATGTAGAAATCGTTGGTTCACAGGGTTGAGGAAAACATGTTTTCCTCCCTGCTGTGTCAACATTTTTCTTTCCTCTGGGAGTCTTTCAGCGACTGCTGCAGCTTATGATATATTAAGATGCCTTTTATCAATCCAGGGCTGTTTTTCATTGTCATACATAAGCTGGAAGAGTTAGACCAGCAATGATGTATGGAAACAGAGAGCCGCCAGAAGAAGGAAGAGCGAGTATAATGTACTCTGCAGACTCAGCGTACTGCAGGCCGTGGGTAGTTTTCCAAACTCCGTCTGTTTGGAGAGGGAGGCCGAGGAAGTTTAACGTGATTTATGTATTGTTTTGGTTTGTGACTCATCGGTGGAGGAAACATATTGTAAGAAGCCAAAAGCAGCCCCAAAAAACAAACCATTGACCACATTCTTACTGTACATCATATTTGGAATACTCTCAGTGGTTTACCATGCTGTCAGGCCGCTCGATGAAAGTTCAACCCAAACAGTTTATGCGCTGCATCACATTACAGCCTTTGCTCCAATGTGCGTAGGAACCTCTGAAAAATATTCAAAATATTGACGGCAGTCAGGGTGTTCTTCGTTTTTTTTTTTTTACACAGCCGCAGCACGAATATTTGCTGCAGCACTGCAAACAGGACTCTTCATGTCTGAGAAAGTGACATCTCAGCGAGGTTTCACTTTGTAAAAACCTCTTCTCTGAGCTTGTGGGATCAGCTGTCCACCGTGACATGATATGTGTCGCTTAATGTTTTAGCATCATTTTTCCAACTGTTCATCATTAGCGAGAACTAGAACTTTTGTCAGTGCAGGGGGAGAAGAGTCACAGAAACCACAGATACCAGTCTCCTTTTACCACAGACCCTCTCGGCATTTCCTACAGAGGCTAAAGATGAAAGAAATGACATTTCTGAATGACCGCAGCTGGGCCACATTTACCAGGGTGATTAGAGCTCTTGCCTTACAGCAGGAGGATCTTCAGTTGAAGCCAAGCAGTGCCTGGTCATTCTGTATCTCGGTGATGAAGAAGTGGACTGCCCTGTACCCCACCGTCACCCGATCAATGCTGGAAAAGGCTTTCAATTGACCCTCAACAGGACTGACAACAGCCAAGGTTTTACCTTAAAAAATACTCCTGTTTTAAAATAACTACTGCTGTAATAACAGCAGAAGTCTCTTTGAACAGTATCAGATGTCAGATGACATTTAATGTACTGTTCTACAAACAGGTATGGGTTGGCTTTTTCTAGCCACCGCAAGGAAAACACAAACTTTTATTAAATACACTCAAAATGTCCGTAGGTGAACTTCATCGGGAATTTCAGACGCAAAGTCATCGGGTCTAGACTTTGTTTCGATCAGAACCAAGGAGACGCTTTTCAAACATGTCACAACTGTAGCTGTTGAACAGTTTATCCTTATGAAAAAGTCGTAAACGGCAGGAGGGTCAACCCAGTTCACACACGTGTTTTGATTTTAGTCGCTGTTTCTCTGTGCCCGACTGACGCACTGACGAGGGGAAAAAAAACAAAACAACTCCTGTGTGGAGAGGAGGAGGTGGAGGAGATGAAGGGCGAACAAACACTGATGCATGTTGGGGTGATCACAACTACATTTACACATCCAGCAGACTCTTTAATGACTGAAGTGACTTCTAAGAAAGGGAGGCACCATTAGGGATATGTGGTTCCTGTGGGAATCAAACCCAGGACTCTCTGCTGGGAAGGCAGGCGTGTTAACTGTTACACTATGGAACCAATGTTTCGACCACTGTATTTGACCCCCACTTTTTTTAGGAAAGAAGGACTAAGATGACAGGAGTGACAGGGAAAATCTTTTGGCAAAAAACTGAGAGAAACGATGGGCAGTAACAGAGTTCATTCTTAACAGGGAAATGCACAAGAGTCTCTGGGAGGTGGGGGGGTCAGGATCCAGTTGGGGGGTTAGTGATCTGACTCCATGTGCTGGAGAATCTCCAGGTGGTGCTCTATTCACAAGTGATAGAGATGGCAAAAGTTCAACTCTCAATACAGGAACAACGCAGTGGAGAGGAACGCAAAAACTAAGAGCCAAAAAAAACACACAAAAAAAAAACCAAACAGTGATGATTTTGTAGCATGAGAAGATCAGACAAGTTAGCCAAACTCTGACTCCATGTGGAGCTGCAGCTTAAATACTGCCCTTCCTCAATTGGAGGCCACGCCCTCCAGTGCTCTGGCTCGTCAGCTCTGGATTCAGTGCAGCTGTGGAGAGAGGACACCAGCAGCAGAAACACAATCCCTACACTGTTTACCCTGAGGAATTTTGAGGACTACATCCTCTGCCATTATTACTGTAATATAAATTAAATCACTTCTATGACAACACACTTTCATATATATCTGTATATATAAATACACATTTTAATCTGGATTAATCACTAGTAATTGTAATCACAGGTCAACATTCCCAAATATGACAAAAACATGTCCTATATTTACTGGAACAGAAAGACAATGTATGTGTTCCTCATATGATTTTTATTTCTCATCCAAATGACGAAATTCTTCGAGAAACAATGTACAAAAGTACAACTTAGAATTCAACCAGGCGCCTCACCTGAGGGCTGAAGCCTCCACCAACACATGGGTGTTGATGCTACAATTAATCTAACAGTTTCGGCGAAACGGCAGTCTTTCCCACAAAGTGTGTAAATGACTTAAGCAACTTACAAGAGGAGGATTAACAATCAAGCATGTGGTTTCTCTGGGAATCACGATTCTCTGCCCTGTGCTTCCAACGTAGGCGTGCTAACTGCTACACTATGGGATTCAAAATGAACACATTCATTTTGAAAGCTAATAATATATGTGTATTAATATATAGTATAAGTATACATGTACACATACAGAATATGTATGTGTATATATATATATACATATATAAGTATACTTACAGTATATATGTGTGTGTATATATATATATATATATGCAAATATATTGCAATACATTTTTTAAAATTATTTTTCATTCAAAAATAGTTTACTACACAGCAGCAGGAAGATAATTTGGTAATGAGTTCTTCTCAAAATCAAAAGTTAGTTTTAAAGTTAAAGTTTTAAATTAACCACAAGTTTAAGTACGAGTCTTCATATGTGACCCTTTGAAAAACTGGACGAGTACTCACAGTGTTACCCTCCTTCACCCAAAGACTGCTGGGATTGTTTCCAGCCCCACGACTCTAAAACGATTAAGCAGTAGACAGTAGATGAGTCTTTATATAAACATTTGTTTTAGAACCAGGTCAGCAGCTACGTATACCTCTGCACGGACGCTGTCCATTTCTTATAAACAGTCTATGACTCTATTACAAAAAGAGGCGGACACAAATGTAATCATTGCACACAGATATTAATATGAAAAAGAGCATTTAACAGTAGACAAAAGGTGGTTATTTATTAAGCATACATTGGATTATTGTACATATATATATTTATAAAATAGGATGTTTTTGGCTAAATGGATGAGTATTACATGGAAGTGAGTAGTTCTTGTAGAAATAACATAAAAACAGGTAACTGTCAAGGCACGTGTTAGTTGTCAAAAGTATCAACATCACCATGATGTACGATCTTTAGGGTCATGACGCGTCTGGAGAGCCTGACATGGGGTTGTTTAGCAGATGTTCTTATTAAGCAACATAGAGTCTGACTTAAATGAAGAGATTCTCCACAAGGGGGGCGAAGGAGGTTCTAGTTTGAAGAAAGCCAGCAGGATTAAGATCTAGGTGGCTACGTTCATAGTATAATCCTGGGTAAATAGGAAAAGTTAAAAATACTGTGTGATTTTCCCATAGTATGACAGAAATATGATCAAGCTGCCATTTCAAGGCTCAGGAGTCAAAATAGGAAAAACAGACAATAATCCTGGTCATTTCTCCAAACTCTTGGAAAAAATAAAGTCCTTGCATGAGTTTGTTTCTTTAATTAATCTCTACACAAACTGATATATTTTTTTTCGTCCTTGTTAAGGATGTTGGTTCCTAGTTGCGGAAAAAAAAAATAACTCCGGGGAAATTCCTTGAACCAGCCTTGAAATGCATTCAAGGAAACAACTTGAATAATTTACAGAAACTGTAGTGCATGGATTGGCCAAAAAATTCAAGAGCTGGTGAAGAAAACGTTTGAATACAAGGCACAAATATATGTATATTTACAATGTACTGTATAATGATAGTTTAACGGCTGCCTATCAAGCAAGAAGACATGAGACCAAATACTGTACATGGCTGTGAGGCAATGAATGTAAAGGTAGATGCATAAATATGGATACGTTTGGAAAGTTTTTGGTAAAAGCCTCTCAGAAGCAGAGCGGCAGCAGAAGTGGAGGCAGATAAAAGTTTTTGGTTTCAGACATGAAGGATGGCTTTATCAGAAGTTTGTGCAAAAAAAAAGAAAGAAAACTATATTATTATTTTATCCCTAATTTATTCCCTATTGGTGTATTAAGAAAATACACTTAAATATCTTAGTGTTTTCAAACATTTATAACATGGCTGTAGTAACAGAAGTATTTTAGAGCAGGCGTATTTAAACTGCGGTTCAGGATCCAGTCATGGATCATGTATGGTTTCTGATCATCCATTGACTTGTGTCCTAATATATTCATTCTAATATATTCATTTATTTTAAAAAGTCATCCATCATATTATTCCACCAAAGTATTTGCATTGTCTTCTGGGTTTAAGTGCTAATTTAGTTTAAACTTTCACCTGTCCTGGCTAAATCATGTCCTTTTTTGCTTGTATTTTATAATTCTGATACAACTTTTAGCCATTCTTGGCTAACTTTTAGTTACCGATTTGTGTTGTGAACTATTCGTTAAAATTTGGGTTGGAACTAATCTCAGATATTTTGCTGCAACTGTAGTTGGTTAAAGTCTAGGTCTTTTTCTGGCTCCTCTTTTTGGTTTGTTTGAGTCATTTTGGCTTACTTTTATGGTTGCGCAACATTAGAAAATCCAGACCTCACTTTAAGTGATCACTTGGATATTTTTAATTATGTAGCTTAATGCGTTAGCCATTACTTGGTTAACCTGGCTCGGAGCAATTACATTGCTCTGTTTAAAGTTCTAGGATCTAGAATCTGTAGATTCCTAGCAAGTGAATAAATTGACTTTAAGTCCACTGTAGTAAGTATTTTCTTTTACCTACTAAACAATAACTACACAAATTTGGATTTCACAGATGGGACGTGTAAAGTTCACTCACACAAACGCTTCTGCGGCGTTACTTCTTTCCTGTTTAGACACTTAAAAAAAGAAGTAACAATGCACTAAATGTAGACACTGGCATTTACGACAGCAGCGGCAGCAGCAGCAGCCGCAGGCGCAGGCGCAGCAGCAGCCCAATGTGTAAATCTAAAAAAAGCCATTTCCCCTCTTCCTACACAGACAAATTGTCTCATTCTGTTCCTATGGGTTTCTTTTGTCAGCCAACACAAACTTACTTAAAAAAATGAATATAGAATATACAACAAAGTACAAATTGTTTTTTTATAGAATATATATCAACCACATTTATGGTTTTCATGGTTTACAGAGAGTTTAACCTGTATTGATTGTACAGCTGTGTTTTCAGGTAGATGTCACTTTCAGTGACTGTTCTTAAGTTTACATATAAATCACACGTTTAAAGTGAAGGATTATGGGACATAAGTGTCCTAAATATCCAGGGACAACATGATGACTGTGGTTACCCTCACACGCGCACACACATATACATATATATTAGGAATGGCTTGATACATCTTTTTTTATGTCTGATACCCGCAACTTTTGTAGTATCTGTGGATACAGAGATCAATCTGATACCTTCTTTTCTCCTCCAGCATTTCCAGGGGCTGCCATTGCTGTTTACAGCATGTCGTGCAAATTTAAGTTGAGCATTTGGGGTCAGGTTATCAGATTGTACGGGTTAAAGTTGTTTTCTTTCAATGTTCAATCCTGAAATTTTGACCAATACCGATCCTGAGTATCGAAACAAGCCATCCTTCAGCCACATATATATATATATATGTATATATATATATATATATATATATATAAAAACATATGAGTGTATAGAACGTAGATGTCTTTGGCTATTTGGATTCCCTTGACCAGTGCTACTAGCTGGATCAAGCTCCACCATGATACAGGCACTTTCAGCGTCATACTTCATTATTTTGTTTTTTTCAAATTACTATACTGTATCTTCACCAGGAACTGACAAAACAACAGCTCTGTTTTAAACATTACAGCCTGAAAAAAATATATAACATAAGAAAGCTCACATGACAAAAAAAGAAACTGCGAGTCTAAAGGTAAAGCACTGTTACACGTTGTGCGTTATTCCCTCCCCTCTGGCCCCCGTGATTGGCTCTACTCTGCCAGGTACGTGGTGACATCGTGAGGAGGTGTGGCGAAAATTCCATTGAGTTCTGCTAAGAGTCTTTCATCCTGTTGTAGACGAAAAAGAAAAAAAAAAGATTTTTAGAATCTTACTAAATGGAGTATTTTTGTAAACATAATGTTTGTTTGAGCTCCACCTTCACAGAATGAAAAAATAGTGTCAGGATATTATTAAATCCAATTTAATTCTAAATTTCGTCAGTAAATATCATGACATGCCTGTATTGAAATATAACTTCAAAGATACAGTGTAACCTACGAGCGTCTCAACGACGAGTATTTCGGGATACGAGCAAGCACTCGAGCAAATTTTTGCTGCGAGATACGAGTAAAGATTTGAGATACGAGCACGCTTACAGACGCCGACGCTAGGTGGCCAAGCACTCGGAGCAGCCCACGCCGCTTCACTTGTTCACTTCACATGTTCGTCGACTTCAGTAAGTATCGCTTCCATGATTTTCTCTCTATTTTGTGGATTATTCTTCACGAGTGGTAAGGATGGTGGTGAGTCAATATATATGAGTGTGGTCCCAACATAAGTGATAGAGCACGCACATAAGATCGCAGTACATCCACGATATGTACCATCCTAAAGTAAAAAAAAAAGAAGTGTAAGTAAATGTTAAGTTTATGTAAGTTTCGTAGTGTACGTGTAAGGTACACTACGGAATCAAGGGGCCGGAATGGATTAATTTTTTTTCTGTTATTTCTTAGGGGAAAAAATGATTCGAGATACGAGCTCGGTCCTGGAACGGATTATCCTCGTAACTGGAGGTTCCACTGTATTTTAGAATGAACTCGTTCACCTGTGTTTGTTGGTGGTTTTCCTTGAATTGCTGTACTTTAAGAGCCTGCTCGGTGGCTGAAAAGACATTGACGTTGTCCAAAGTGATGGCTGAAGTGCTTAACGTTGACTCAACTTGTCTCCACTGGAAGCAGTGTAAACCTTGAAGAGCACTATGACTGAGAGGTGTTTCTGGCTCCCTCAAGATTGAGCTTCCAGAGAGGGCCAGCATGTCGGCCCCTGCTGGGGTGGAGGAAAAGTGCTGGTTGAAAATGCAGTTCCCCTCAGTAGCTGCCTGGCCACAAGCCATCCCTCCCTGCTGAATGTGGCTCATGCTGCTGCTCTGCCAGGGACTGTTTTGCGGGAATGTTTGGCTTTGTAAAGACTGTCCATCACAAACTGGCATTGGTGCGTGTCCAGTTTGTAAGGCGCCATTGCAAGGCAACTTCTGCTGCTTGCCCTGCGGCCACTGCTGAATCTTATGGGTGTCAACAGAAGACATTTGTTGTGGGCAAGGTGCGCCAAAAGGGAGGGTAATGTTAGGAGCAGGGGAGATACTTAAGTCTTTGCAAGGAATTAGGGGTGGCAAAATATCCAGCATGCCAGGTGCCATATGGTTTGGAGGTTGAACAGAGCTCTGTGGCATGTGGCCATTCATCGATATTTGAGGGGACTTTAAACCGTTCTGTGGCCAAACTGTGCATTGCTTTGACTGTGTCTGTCCAGAAATCCCCTGCGGACACTCAATGTGGCTGTAGGCTCCCTGCGCACAAGACTGCAAGGGGGCCAGGGAGTCACCGTTTACGGCACAAGGGACAATCTCTGGAATTTCGATGGATGGGCTGAAGATATCTTGAAGCTGTAGTTCTTGAAGTTGGGGCAAGTTGTCGTTAGCGTGTTTAGGCAGAGGTCCTTGGTGGGTGAGTTTCTGTGTGCCATTTACAATCGGAGAAGTCTCCATGATAGTTGGCACGGGGTTCTCCTGGTGAATGTAGAGTCCATTCTTTGGCGAGAAACCGTGATTAGGACTTTGGGTCTTAAACAATCCTGATCCACAGAGCTCGGAGGGAACGGGCGGGAACAGGTTGGGTCGATTGATTGAGTTCACACTGTCACCTCCTTTCTCCTGTAACAAAATGCTGTCAATGTAGTCAAAAATATCATTGGTGAGCATGCTGTCCAGGTCAGACTTGACTTTGTTTTGTTGATCCTCATCATGACCCAGCCCCTTCAGAGCGCTTTCCCACTCCCTTAGCTCGTCACTGCTAACGTCCATGTTTTGAAGTGCCCCATAAAAGTCGCCACTTTGGACTAATCTTTCCAGGTTGTCGATCACAGCCATCACAGACTGCTTGGCCTCCTTTTTCACAACCATGTTGGTGCCCGTTGGGTTGACCACACCACCCTCCTGCCACGGGTCATTTTGAACAGTGACCAGGGCCCTGCTTTCACTGAACACCTGATCCACAGTCGGAGGGGGCTCCAATGACTCACTGTACACTTCTTCATCCTGCTTCAAAAAGCAGTCCACCAAGGAACCAGGTGACACATCCTTGCTCATGCCTTCTGTGCTGAATTTCTTGTTGAACTGATACACAGAGAGGTCCACCGTGGGGCCCGTGTTGTAGAGAACGCCTTCTCCTGTGGATAAGCTAAAGGGAATTTCCATCTTCCTCTGGCGCAAATATTCCTCACCCTCTGTGTTTCTGAAAGAGGAAAAAAAAATCATGTTGAAGCTGCTGCCAGTGACCTTTAGTCAAATTCCTACTCATTGCCCGGATGATTCATTTGCATTCCTCCTTGTAGAGTTCTTGATCCTCGTGATAATGTTTTTGTGAAATTAAGTTTTGTTTACAAAATCTTCAAATACAGAAAGAGCAATGCCGCTTGACCAAAAGTGAGGTCACCTAATTGATATGAGGGCCACGTACAGAGATTGCTCTAATTTTCAGCTGACCTAATTCAAAGGTTTCCTTGAATGTCACTGAGCTGTAGGAACAAGCTAAATAATAATTGCTCTGTATGACATTTTGTGAAAGTGAAAACAAACTTACTCTATGGCTTTCTGGTATGCAATGATAAACTCCGGTCTCCCTCCTTTGTAGATCAACTTGGCATTGGACTTCACCCACACCCATTTGTTGGACTTACTGAGGAGCCGGAAAACTGTCAGTCCAGTCTCACCAGTCTTAATCACTGTTGTAGAAAACAAACACAAAAAAACACAATCAGGGTGTGCAAGACAATCATACCATCATATCTGGCTGTATTGATTCACCAGGCATTTGGTGGATCCTACTGTTGTACCAAACCTACGAAGCAGCGAACAATACAACCTTTCTTCTCTGATCTATTGGCTATCTAAACATATATTTTAATAAGTCCTTCTCTGATCTATTGGCTATCTAAACAAATATTTTAAGTCAATAAGTTAACTACAAAGGTTTATTAAAACTTGATGTCAACTATGATTTTTTTGATTTAAAACTTGTCAACAGCCTCTCTATGGATTAAAAAAAAATAAAACATAAAACAAATTATGAAAGCACTAACTAAGACAGGCATGGGCAAACTAAGGCCCAGGGGCCTGATGCGGCCCGTTCAGCTTTTTAATCTGGCCTGCCAAAACTTTCCAAATTATATAATTTGTTTATATTAACAGTTTATTTTTCTGCCTTTTCCCTGCAATACCCACGTTTACCCCATAGATAGTGTAGAAAATGAAAAAAGTATTTTAGCATTTCAGCCTGTATGCATGACTTTTACATGTCATTTATCTTAGTTCACATCAATGCCAAATCTATCTGCTCCTGACGCGGCCCCCCTGACATTTGTGTCATTTATCTTAGTTCACATCAACGCCAAATCTATCTGCTCCTGGCCCGTGTGTCTAAAAGTTTGAACGTCTGAACTAGGATGATTATATGGTGTTTTGTATCTTTACCAAAACCAGAATTTGTAACAAACGTACTGCGCATGTGATTGGTGGCACAGTGCATCATATCAGCAGCGTGGATGAACTGGTAGCCAGAGCCTTTCATGCTGATTTCAATCTCTGAATAGCCCAAAACAACCATTCCCCTGGAAAAGAGAAACAAACAATATTCAGATTGAATGTTTTTGTTTTTTTATAAATCATTTAATGTTTTCAAAGGGATCCTTTTGAAAGAGACCTGCCCACCTGGAATCGATGCCTGTAGGTGTAAAATCCAGTTTGTGTCTTGTTTGAAAAAGAAGCATTTTCGCTCTAATCTCCACAATCAAGGGAGGTTGGATAGGTATAGCAATGGCAAAAAGTGCCAGCTGAAACTTGTTGCTTTGATTGTCTTTTTGGCCATAGAGGTATTTCAGTCGCCCCTGGAACTTCAAGGTCTGGTTTGGAAAAAGAATATGCAGTCAGTAATTTAAAACTAAAATTGGACATAAATACCATGTGAAGATTCAGGACCGAACACTGCATTACCAGAAAGCCAGAGGAGTTGTCCAAAAGGCAGCGGAAACGACACATGAAGCTTCGCTCTAGAAAGGAGGAGTTTTCTGGAGGAAGATGCTCGGGGTTGTACAACATGGTCGTCCCCTGGAGGCCTGAGAACAGAGATGACGATTTGGTAATAAATGACACATATGAAACTAACAGCTATTTTTCTTTGTGCGTAAGCGGAACCATGGTGATAAAACATCGAGATAAGAACTGACCATTTCCACCAGCTCCAGCTGGTGAAGGATTCATAGCAAAGTGCAGCTGCTCTCTGAAGAGGTCCCGGTCATCGGTGTGAATGAGGTCAAACACACTCTGATGAACCACATCTGACTGTTGACACAAAAGTAAATACAGTCATACAGGGGCTGCCTGTCGTGAGAAAGTATGGCCTTCGCTCTATCGTACTCCATCAGTTGTTAAACATTCAACGATTTGCCACTGTGGAATTGATACTTTTTAATGGGTGGATACCATGGACCATTTTTATGCAAGACTATTAGCTTGTGTGAGGGTTGTGTGCGAGGGAACAGGGTTTTTTGTTTTTTAAAATTTTCGCTAATTTTTGCTTAAGTTAAAGCGTTCTTTGCGTACATTTACAAACAGCTCACCTGATGAAAGCCCAGGTAATCCTTAATGGTGGTAGAGGCATAAAACACCAAACCATCGGAGGTGATGACGATCACAAATCCATTTAGTGCCTGTGCAAAAAATAAAATAAAAATAGAGAGTAGGTTGGCGAATTAACTGAACAACAATGAAAACAAATATGACCCACAATAACGTAGTGTACAAAAAAAAATCATGTGTGATGTGATCATGTCAGGCTATGGAGAAGCTTAAATGACATATTCCTAAATAAATAAATAAATAATATAAACAAATACAATTGAAACAATGGCAACATTCAACAGACACAAACCACCTACGGCTGCAAGAAAAACAAAGTCATCCACGCATCGTAGAGTTTGTGACGTGTAGTTTCTACTGTTATTCGCGTAGTCAGATGTTAGTCACAGTATTAGTCATTAAAAATGACTGCAGTATAGATGGAGTCAATGATTAGCTTCACCTGCAGGCAGTGTACCTTGGAATTCCCAGGCAAAGATCATGTGTTAAAGCCATAGTACTCCATACAATTTCATTCATTCATTTTCCTTGGTGGAAAATTTGACCTTATTTGTCGTGTAAAGCAGAAGACACCTGACCAATAGACTGATGTTTGAGTATAAAAATAGACACCATTATTGGTAAAACAGAACTGAAACTGTGGTGTTTATCAAGTATATATATATATATATATACATATCAGTAAGTATTCACCACCACCTCCGTTTTGCACACTTCCTATGAAAGCTTCTGAGGAAGGGGCTGCTCTTCCCCTGAGACACACAGGAAATAACTTCAAAAATGTGTAAAATTGTAAAGACAAATTTAGTTGGACTTTAAAGTATTTATATAAAGTTCCTGATTATGCTTGCAAAATTGTGCTTTAAATATTAAGTTTGCTGCGGGTAGGATAGCTAGAGAAGCTCTTTATTCGGTTCCATTTTTCACTAACACAAAGTAAAAAAAAAAGTAGCTGGTAAATGTAAGTCCAGATTACTCCATTGTAGTGCACAGTGGACTGGATGGATTGGTTTGGAACAAAATTAGCTAGAAATTATGTTTTGAATTCAAACCAATACACTCACGTCCAGCTGTAGCTCCTCAACGCCTCTTGAATGTCATAATTATTGCTTGTTGTAATCGACAGGCGGCGCAAAGTGTGAAAATGTACATGACAGGTGTGATGAAACAAAAAAGGGAGGCGCTGGGCATTTAACAAGCACAGGTTTTGTTAAAAGTCACTGAGCATGGCCGAGCGTTGGCAACCTGCACTAAGACAAGCTGTGACACCTGCCATAACTTCCTTCTAAATGGACAGATCTGGATTAGCCCCAAACAACATGACCACTATGCAAATAAACAAAGTTTGACTGTGCAATTGTGCACCTGCTAGCCTTGGGCTAGCGAGCAATCAATCAGACTGAGAGATTTTTTTTTCCCCCTTGTAGGGTACAGAAGCAGCATGTGCACAAAAGTTTAAAGGTGCATCAACAAGCATTGTTCCGGCACCCAGTTGCTTGTTCTGTTTGGTTTAGTACCTGGAGCAGAAGGTCTCCCTCAGAAAATTCTGCAGTATCCATGTTCATCCCATTCTGTCCGTTTTTTCCATTCGGCGCAGGAAACGTCAGACTGTTGCCGTTGGTTTTAGTGGACGCTACACAGACAGAGGAGAAAACAGAAAAGACGACACGTTTTGTTCAATCATTTTACAACATGTCTTTACACTTTAAAAAACAACCACATTAGAATACTTGGTATAGTTGGTATAAACCATCTCTTAAAATAGAATGGCTGTTTTCCAAATGCTTTCACTGCTTGGGTTTTATTATGGGAAATGGCAACGGGAATAAGCCTCAGAAAAACATGGACAAACAAAAACCAGTTCCATGACAATAAAGGATGTGGTTGTAAAATATATGTTATCACTTGGTGGTAAACATAATATATATTTAATATAATAATATAATATATATCTAGCTTGCACAACACATGTTTTGTTTTACTTAGTCAAAAGTCCAAAAGAAGGAAAGGTGAATTAGCGACCACTGATATTTGTACAACTTAAACTGGAATTACGAGTCAGTTAATATTGACCTGGTATGATCCAATTGTCGGACATTTTATTGGATCTAATACTATCTCTGGTGGCTAGGGTCAAGGTAAGGTCACTCCTGCAATATTTTCTTTTGGATCATTTGGTCTATGGAGCAATTTCAATCTAAAAAAAGAAGCTATTTTTTAAGCTTAAACACTTTACTATACATGCATGACAGACAGCTATGATCCGAGTGAAGTCATTTCATCATTAATGAAATTAGAAAAGACATCCAATCAGCAACAACCATAGAGAATTAGTTCACAATTTAGATCTCCAGCTGCCACATCAAACTGCCTGTCCGGGAGGACGGCAATGCAGACGCAGCGACACTCTGTCTCGGCCGCTTGGCAGCCAGATTATTTTCATGTGATTCTAATGTGACCGTGTCCTTTCATGCCCCTGAAAGTGCTTTGCAAGCACATTCAACCTAGTCGGTCCCAAAGCTAAGGTTTTGAACCCAAGTAGAAGGTAAAGTATGTGCCTTATCAAAATGTTGCTGATACAGCAGAGCAGCACTGGCCAGTAAAAGCACAGTACTGCGTGAGTGGGAGGCAAATGATATGATATTTCTCATGTGCAGCTGCACATGGACAGCAGCGGCTGAAAGGGGTGTCGCAACAAGACTGAAGAAGAATCAGAATAAAAAAAGAAACCATACAGAAAAAAATTGAAAGAAAAATAATAATAGTAATAATAATATAATATATTTCTGCCAGAACACAGTTTGAATGCCTGATCAATGCGTTGAGTCTGCTACAGCAACCAATTGTTTTATATAAACATATGAAAATGTGATCAATGCGTTGAGTCTGCTACAGCATACATAACAAACAACATACAAACTAATACCATGTTTGGTACTGATTTCTGCAAAACCCATGTCGTTAAAGTATTTTGATTTTCTTTCAAAAATGTGCACAAAATGAATCCCACAAATGGTTGAGTAAACAATTAGTAGCCTTTTTTTGGCAATTCTTTTTTTCAAAGCATACTTTTTCACCTGAGGAAAGAAAAAGGAAAATAAGTCGCAAACTATAGATAATCAGCGTTAAAGTTAATGAACACACAGGAGAAAAGGTAAGGCCAGTTCAAGCTTCAGTTATTGTAAACCTGCCAGAAGACAGGTTTTCTCATCGCTGGAAAACTGATCTGGCAGCTTGCATATCCGCAAACACATAAAACGTGCACAGAAATAATACACACACAAACACACAAGGTCCCCTCGCATCTGTCCCTGGAGGGTCTTTGTAAGCAATAGCCGACAAGAGTGCTTCCCTTATCTGAAAGGCCACTACAGGAAAATCCCAGGATATAGCCTCTCCCAACCCGTCGGTCGAGTCGAGTCACGCAACATCTTAAAGGAGGGAAGGGGCCCCAGAACACTCCTCTCAAACACAGACACATAAGACACTCCACACCCCTGAGCAGGAACTCACACGGCGTTTACGTAAACACCCGACCTGCACAGGCTGACACTCAAGCCTTTACGCACAAAGCTGCACAACGTTTGACTACAGTTAGCAAAAATACGCAAGGGACACGTGCAGCCAGAAGACCACCAAAAAAAAAAAAAAAAAAATTCATGAGGACAAAAAATGTAAATCATAACAGCAACAAACATAACATGTACAAACGTTTCTCTCACACTTACTGTTATCTATTTGCACCCAGCCAAACAGGCAAATGTAGACCATGCTACTTCAAGTTCAAATCTGGATAATCCAATACATCCCTCATGTTGTATTTTTTCTTTTTTTTTTTCTTCTCAGAGTTTGCGTGAGTGAGTGGGCCTCTCTGTGGCTGCCTGTTTGTTTTCATTCTAGCTTTTTTTTTCCCCCAGTGGTGAGCACTTAGCTCTCCCCCTCGCCGTCTTTTTCCATTGTTAACAGTTTGTGGCACTGTTGCTTGTGTGCACTTACAGTGCTCTGTGCAGCTGCAGCAGGAGACAGATGTGTCATGCCACTTGGACAGAGCTTGACCAGAGGCTGGAGATACATTCTTGTGAGTTTGTGGGAGGCGAAGAAAGAAGATTCCCACTGGCATCAAACACATATATTGGCTCCACAGAGCAGGAAGGAAGAGTTCACATCATTTTGATCGGGACCGAACTGACATGATTTTTATGATTCTTATTTCAACACCAGGCTGTTAAGCACTTTTTGACTTTAAGTCCAGATGGAAGCCTGTCTGGTATAACAGCTGATTAACAACCCAAAATTAAATAGACACTAGATGAAGACTTGGAGTCACTCATTTTTACGTGCCAACGTTTATGCTATTTTAAACACCAGGGAGGATTTACAAGGAGTCGCTGAAACTTACTAGCAAATTTAAAAGTCATGTATGTAATGTAAAAAAAAAAAAATTAGTTTAAGCTAGATCTTATATAACCCAAATACAGTATTTTCTATTTTGTAATAACATACTTTGTTCTTCAATTCATTTTTATATATTATACACCTTTGTTGCAGTAATTTAGGTCACTCGTGGTATTTAAAAAATATTTAGTTGGGACTGATCCTAACAGCTTCCACACTGGATTTCTATGCCAGGAAACACCCAAATCAAAATTCCCCGTTATAATTTTTTAATTACAGAAAATGTTTTTATTAATTGTCACTGGCTCAAAAAAATTGAAGGAGTAAAAGATCATAAGCAGATGGCAGATTATTATAGTATGTATCTTTTCTTCTTTCAAACATTTTGATGCCTATGTGAATTATGTCCGAGTTGGAGTTAACGACCAGCCATGTTCACTGATTCATTTTAAACCGATATATAATTCCACCCTAAATGCCTCAGACAGGCGATTACTGTAAAGTTTTATTGCATGAATGCATTCTTCGAAAACGTTCAAATATTGAAAACAGTGGCTACAACGATGCCTCTTACAAACACTTCTTTTTTTCCAAAATGGCTGATGGCAGGTCTTGCATGCCTGTGCATGACACTGGCATGTTTGCCTTTGAAATCTGATATGTAAAACAAAGGAAGGAGCAAACGTGACAATATCGCACAAAAAACAGTTTGGTTGTAGTAAAATGCCATACCATATTAAACAGTAGTTATACATACTACAGTCAAGTTTAAATTGTCCTATATACTTCTGAATCTGAGGCCGAGGAAGTTTCACCATCAAACACCAGCTTCCTGTTTCTGAAATCTGGCCATTGTGTGATCGGTGAAGTGATTTTTATGCACGACTTCAGGCAAATGAGGAGGAATGAGGTAACCTTTGAAGGGTTTGGTCTCTTGTTACTGCAAGCGCTTAAGTGAAATTCAATGAGCTATGATTGGCCGTGCACTTAAGTAAACCATTCAGGTAAACAGTTTGAAGTGCAAAGTCATGGACGTACGTAATGGGAACAATGAGAAAACCTTGGACCTGACTGGTCATTTGTGGGCAGAATCCAACAGATTGAATAGTGAAGAAAACAAAACAAAAAAGGAGCAGCTTAGAGGAGCTTGCACGTATTTGGAGATGAAAAAGTGAAATGCTGAGAAAGGAAAGGAAATGCTGTCACAGGCTGGAAGTCTGCCATATTGAGACTGAGTATAAAGCATGCCAGCAATGCATAGGGGAATATTATCTTGATTTGAAAACATTTAGTTCCAGTAGATCCTGTACAGAGATCTCTGTTCTCACGCAGATGTGCAGGAAAGGGCAGTGCTTTCAGCAAAAGAAGGAGAGAAAAAAAAAAGTCAGCCAATGAGCTGGGTCACTAGGTCCACTGGTTGATCGTTCTATCCGTCTTTTGATTAATGTGCCTGCTGAGTTTCCATGGCTTTAGCATAAAGAAAAGAGCCTTCATGTTTGTGGTGATGAGACCAGTGTCATGTGGGCATTTCAAGAAAAAAAAGGGGGGGGGGGGAATGAAAGCTTCGGATTGAAAACAGCAGCGTTTTAGAGCCACCCAGAGACTCGTTGTGAACCAACTATGATGTTTCAACTAAGAAACAATGAAAGAAAACGAGTAAAAAGATTTCTAAGGAGTGTATGGGAAAATGACATGTGTCTTTTCTTTTATCCCACAAGTGCAAAGACAATATATTGCAGCAATTGCTTAATAGTTGAATTATTTTTTTTGAAAATGTATATATATATATATATATATATATATATATATATATATATATATGTATTTAAGGGGACTTGGGGGTTGTGAAGCTGTGTATATATTATATTTACTTTATCGACCAAACACCTCAGTGAGTGTTGACTGTTGGGGCGAAGGCTCTTCAGCATGAGATGCAGTTTTCCTCCCCAGCTGGGAAAACTGGTTATGTTTTAGGTTGGCATGCAAGTTTGTTGTGTTGCCTTTTTTTTGTTGCCACCACTTTCAAACAAATTTCAGCATACTTGCTTGTCTGTGTTGTCGTGTGTATTCTAGTAACTCCGCCCCACCCCACAATGAATGAATGACTGACAAGAGGGCTCACTCCGCTCACGAAACAAATGCACCCAGGTGCTGAGACTGATGCACAGAGTGAGCCCTCTTCTCATCCTGCCTGTTCGTGCACATGACCAATTACTGTATGAACTTTCCTTTATCGTG